AATCCATAACACCATTGGCTTTGCCTCCCGCGGCCACCAAACACTGGTCCTGATATAAGTTGAAGCAATCGGAGCACTCATGAGTGTTAGTCTTGGGATTCCAGGTGCCGACCGATACCAGTGCTGACGGATCAGCCGTATGAATGGCAGACGATATCCAATTAAAGAGTCGAAGAATCCTTTGGTATTAATTAAATATTATTATTATTATTACTTTCTGCATGTTTAGACATTTTTATAGTAAGCGCATCTAATATAAAACTACAATTTTGGAAACTATTTTATCATTCAATAATAAAATAATAAGATCACCTACCTCTTAATAGGGAATTTAGCCTGGTATCCCATTCCCTTGTTACTCTTCTGCCACCGATAAATGTCAAAACAAGTGTTGGGATCCGACTCTTTGGTCCAGATATCCATTGCTCCCTCGGGTTCGTTCTCTATCTCCCAGGCGGCCAACGCTTTCTTGCCTACCGGTGCCCATCAGATCAATAAATTTGAAATTTATTTTGAATAGTTTATCCTAAACCTTACCTTTAAGCCCCTCTACCATAGGAACCAGCGCTTTATCAATATATGATTGTATTTTTGATTCATCAGTGATAAAACCTTGATGATTCTTCAGCATCGTATCTGTTATGATAAAAAATATTAAGTTATTAAAACCTTTTAATAATTTTAAAACTAGTAATTTTAGTAATTTTTAAAACTTATTAATCAAACTTTTCAAAAGTTTGATTAATTTTATTATTAATAGTTAACCAAAACTATAAACCACTCACTGGTAAACATGCATAGAATGATGAAAACGTTGTGTTTCTGGGCGTCATCCATCAGCGCCTGTAGCTCTTTCACCAGATCTTTCTGATTATCAGTGCCCACGACATACCCGTGCGAATCAAACTGTGGCGATATATCACCGGAAAAATGTAGCCAAACTCGGGCCACATTACCTCCGTGTGCGCTAATACCCGACAACCACTCATTCATTTTCGCCCTGTGCTCCCAATACTTGCCATTTCCCCAATCCTTTCCCAATTCATTCCACGCTATGTTAGCTCCCGATAGGAATACCTTTGTTCCGTTGTAATAAAATTCCTTTTCCTTTACCTGTATATAAGCCTCAGTCTCACAGCACAGGTATGTTACCAAACATAAGCAAAATAATTCTTTGAACATTTCTAACGCTATTTAGAAAATTTACTAAAATAAAATATTGTTTAAGAGTAAATTAATAATGACTTAATTTAGTTATGAGTTTATTTATATATGATTTTAAATTATGTTCTAGACAAATAATACCAGATTTCAATGTATTTTAGATCTGATTAAAGTACAAAATTTACGTTATATTGTGATATAATTCATTAAATTATCATTTCAGTAGTAAGTGGATTAGTTATCTAATCGTTATCCAAGAATTACAAAAGGATTCTATAAAATAGGTTAAATTGCAATACAGTATAAGGGGTTTCTTTCAATATTTCTAAGATTTCTAAAATTATCTATCATTTTTACTATTATAAGTTATTAAAATATGTAATTTATTTAATTCTCTACTAATCAAACGATATTTAGTATGTATCTCAATTTAATCAATTAATAATTGTTCATTTTATATATCTTATCATTTTCTGATAAAACACTTAATTATTATAAATATTGTGAAACTAATTGACAATTGCTTATAAATTTTCCATTAAACGATAAGTCAAATAAAATATCACAAAGTTTCAGTCAGTTTTAAAAACAATTTCTTTATTCAAATGACTTTTAATAAAATGAATTTCAATTATATTAATCAAAGCAAATAAATGTGAAACAAAAACCAAACTATAATACAAATCACAAGCAAATGCTACAATAAAAATCG